AGTTACAAGTTGTGACTCCTCTATATCTCTAATGCTGCATGTAGTCTAGTGACACTCCGTATGAGTGACTGTGACATCCCTCCTCAGAGACTAACTCAGCGTTGCAGCCCTCGGCACTTTAGGACGAAATTTACAAGTTGTAACTCCTCTATATCTCTAATGTTGCATGTAGTCTAGTGACACTCCGTATGAGTGACTGTGACATCCCTCCTTGGAGACTTAACTCAGCGTTGCAGCCCTCGGCACTTTAGGACGAAATGTACAAGTTGTAACTCCTCTTAACTCTAATGTTGCATGTAGTTAAGTGTCACTCCGTATGAGTGACTGTGACATCCCTCCTCGGAGACTTAACTCAGCGTTGCAGCCCTCGGCACTTTGAGGTTAAAGTTAAAAATGTCTACTCCTCTATATCTCTAATGTTGCATTTAGTCGAGTGACACTCAGTATGAGTGACTGTGACATCCCTCCTCAGAGACTAACTCAGCGTTGCAGCCCTCGGCACTTTAGGACGAAATTTACAAGTTGTAACTCCTCTTAACTCTAATGTTGCATGTAGTTAAGTGTCACTCCGTATGAGTAACTGTGACATCCCTCCTCGGAGACTTAACTCAGCGTTGCAGCCCTCGGCACTTTGAGGTTAAAGTTAAAAAATTTCAACTCCTCTATATCTCTAATGTTGCATTTAGTCGAGTGACACTCAGTATGAGTGACTGTGACATCCCTCCTCGGAGACTAACTCAGCGTTGCAGCCCTCGGCACTTTGAGGCTAAAGATACAAGCTGCAACTCCTCTATATCTCTAATGTTGCATTTAGTCGAGTGACATTCAGTATGAGTGACTGTGACATCCCTCCTCGGAGACTTAACTCAGCGTTGCAGCCCTCGGCACTTTGAGGTTAAAGTTAAAAATTTCAACTCCTCTATATCTCTAATGTTGCATTTAGTCGAGTGACACTTAGTATGAGTGACTGTGACATCCCTCCTCGGAGACTAACTCAGCGTTGCAGCCCTCGGCACTTTGAGGCTAAAGATACAAGCTGCAACTCCTCTATATCTCTAATGTTGCATGTAGTCTAGTCGGTGTCACTCCGTATGAGTGACTGTGACATCTCTCCTCAGAGACTAACACAGCGTTGCAGCCCTCGGCACTTTGAGGCTAAAGATACAAGCTGCAACTCCTCTATATCTCTAATGTTGCATGTAGTCTAGTCGGTGTCACTCCGTATGAGTGACTGTGACATCCCTCCTCGGAGACTAACTCAGCGTTGCAGCCCTCGGCACTTTGAGGCTAAAGATACAAGCTGCAACTCCTCTATATCTCTAATGTTGCATGTAGTCTAGTCGGTGTCACTCCGTATGAGTGACTGTGATATCCCTCCTCGGAAACTAACTCATCGTTGCAGCCCTCGGCACTTTGAGGCTAAAGATACAAGCTGCAACTCCTCTATATCTCTAATGTTGCATGTAGTTGAGTGTCACTACGTATGAGTGGCTGTGACATCCCTCCTCGGAGACTAACACAGCGTTGCATCCCTCGGCACTTTGAGGCTAAAGATACAAATTTCAACTCCTCTATATCTCTAATGCTCCATGTAGTTGAGTGTCACTACGTATGAGTGGCTGTGATATCCCTCCTCAAAGACTAACACAGCGTTGCATCCCTCGGCACTTTGAGGCTAAAGATACAAATTTCAACTCCTCTATATCTCTAATGCTCCATGTAGTTGAGTGACACTCCGTATGAGTAACTGTGATATCCCTGCTCGGAGACTAACTCAGCGTTGCAGCCCTCGGCACTTTGAGGCGGAAGTTACAAGTTGCAACTCCTCTATATCTCTAATGTTGCATGTAGTTGAGTGTCACTACGTATGAGTGGCTGTGACATCCCTCCTCGGAGACTAACACAGCGTTGCATCCCTCGGCACTTTGAGGCTAAAGATACAAATTTCAACTCCTCTATATCTCTAATGCTCCATGTAGTTGAGTGTCACTACGTATGAGTGGCTGTGACATCCCTCCTCGGAAACTAACTCAGCGTTGCAGCCCTCGGCACTTTGATGCGAAAGTTACAAGTTGCAAATCCTCCGAAGCTCCAATGCTGCATGTAGTCCAATTGTCACTCCGCATGAGTGACTGACATCTCTCCCCAGAGACTAACTCAGCGTTGCAGCCTTCGGCACTTTGAGGCGAAAGTTACAAGTTGTGACTCCTCTATATCTCTAATGCTGCATGTAGTCTAGTGACACTCCGTATGAGTGACTGTGACATCCCTCCTCAGAGACTAACTTTGCGTTGCAGCCCTCGGCACTTTGAGGCGAAAGTTACAAGTTGTGACTCCTGAGTATCTCTAATGCTGCATGTAGTCTAGTGACACTCAGTATGAGTGACTGTGACATTCCTCCTCAGAGACTAACTCAGCGTTGCAGCCCTCGGCACTTTGAGGTTAAAGTTACAAGTTGTGACTCCTCTATATCTCTAATGCTGCATGTAGTCGATTGTTACTACGTATGAGTGACTGTGACATCCCTCCTCGGAGACTAACTCAGCGTTGCAGCCCTCGGCACTTTGAGGCGAAAGTTACAAGTTGTGACTCCTCTATATCTCTAATGCTGCATGTAGTCTAGTGACACTCCGTATGAGTGACTGTGACATCCCTCCTCAGAGACTAACTCAGCGTTGCAGCCCTCGGCACTTTAGGACGAAATTTACAAGTTGTAACTCCTCTATATCTCTAATGTTGCATGTAGTCTAGTGACACTCCGTATGAGTGACTGTGACATCCCTCCTTGGAGACTTAACTCAGCGTTGCAGCCCTCGGCACTTTAGGACGAAATGTACAAGTTGTAACTCCTCTTAACTCTAATGTTGCATGTAGTTAAGTGTCACTCCGTATGAGTGACTGTGACATCCCTCCTCGGAGACTTAACTCAGCGTTGCAGCCCTCGGCACTTTGAGGTTAAAGTTAAAAATGTCTACTCCTCTATATCTCTAATGTTGCATTTAGTCGAGTGACACTCAGTATGAGTGACTGTGACATCCCTCCTCAGAGACTAACTCAGCGTTGCAGCCCTCGGCACTTTAGGACGAAATTTACAAGTTGTAACTCCTCTTAACTCTAATGTTGCATGTAGTTAAGTGTCACTCCGTATGAGTAACTGTGACATCCCTCCTCGGAGACTTAACTCAGCGTTGCAGCCCTCGGCACTTTGAGGTTAAAGTTAAAAAATTTCAACTCCTCTATATCTCTAATGTTGCATTTAGTCGAGTGACACTCAGTATGAGTGACTGTGACATCCCTCCTCGGAGACTAACTCAGCGTTGCAGCCCTCGGCACTTTGAGGCTAAAGATACAAGCTGCAACTCCTCTATATCTCTAATGTTGCATTTAGTCGAGTGACATTCAGTATGAGTGACTGTGACATCCCTCCTCGGAGACTTAACTCAGCGTTGCAGCCCTCGGCACTTTGAGGTTAAAGTTAAAAATTTCAACTCCTCTATATCTCTAATGTTGCATTTAGTCGAGTGACACTTAGTATGAGTGACTGTGACATCCCTCCTCGGAGACTAACTCAGCGTTGCAGCCCTCGGCACTTTGAGGCTAAAGATACAAGCTGCAACTCCTCTATATCTCTAATGTTGCATGTAGTCTAGTCGGTGTCACTCCGTATGAGTGACTGTGACATCTCTCCTCAGAGACTAACACAGCGTTGCAGCCCTCGGCACTTTGAGGCTAAAGATACAAGCTGCAACTCCTCTATATCTCTAATGTTGCATGTAGTCTAGTCGGTGTCACTCCGTATGAGTGACTGTGACATCCCTCCTCGGAGACTAACTCAGCGTTGCAGCCCTCGGCACTTTGAGGCTAAAGATACAAGCTGCAACTCCTCTATATCTCTAATGTTGCATGTAGTCTAGTCGGTGTCACTCCGTATGAGTGACTGTGATATCCCTCCTCGGAAACTAACTCATCGTTGCAGCCCTCGGCACTTTGAGGCTAAAGATACAAGCTGCAACTCCTCTATATCTCTAATGTTGCATGTAGTCTAGTCGGTGTCACTCCGTATGAGTGACTGTGATATCCCTCCTCGGAAACTAACTCAGCGTTGCAGCCCTCGGCACTTTGAGGCTAAAGATACAAGCTGCAACTCCTCTATATCTCTAATGTTGCATGTAGTCTAGTCGGTGACACTCCGTATGAGTGACTGTGATATCCCTCCTCGGAAACTAACTCAGCGTTGCAGCCCTCGGCACTTTGAGGCTAAAGATACAAGCTGCAACTCCTCTATATCTCTAATGTTGCATGTGGTCTAGTCGGTGACACTCCGTATGAGTGACTGTGATATCCCTCCTCGGAAACTAACTCAGCGTTGCAGCCCTCGGCACTTTGAGGCTAAAGATACAAGCTGCAACTCCTCTATATCTCTAATGTTGCATGTAGTCTAGTCGGTGACACTCCGTATGAGTGACTGTGATATCCCTCCTCGGAAACTAACTCAGCGTTGCAGCCCTCGGCACTTTGAGGCTAAAGATACAAGCTGCAACTCCTCTATATCTCTAATGTTGCATGTAGTCTAGTCGGTGTCACTCCGTATGAGTGACTGTGACAATATATCTCCTCGGAGACTAACTCAGCGTTGCAGCCCTCGGCACTTTGAGGCTAAAGATACAAGCTGCAACTCCTCTATATCTCTAATGTTGCATGTAGTCGAGTGTCACACTATTTGATTGTGTCATATTCAGCTGTTTTCATTTAAACATACTCGCGTTGGTAAATATATAGCTACCCATTAGCCATTTTGCATGTCAACTTCAGTATTCAAAATCATAGTTTTCGTTGACCATGTTGAATGAGTGTAAATAAGTGAAATGCTTATCGTAATGATAGAATATTGTTATTGTCACACAGTTTATTTACCTAACGATCATTAGTTTGCCTCAATCACATACAAACGTTTAAGTTTATCCTTATTTTTCTCAAGTAATGATAATTTATTTTTTCAGGAGAGTTTTCTTCTGCCCGTACCTTCATTTGGACCTGGTGGTAACATCCAGCGTCCTGTCAGTCCTCTAGTCGAGGACACTGAGGGCGAGGAAGGAGAGGGGGAGACGGGAGGAGGTGGTGGGATTCTCAAGAAGTTCAACACGGGAGTGTCAACCCCCGGAGCTCCGAAGGCGGTCCCGACACAGCCGACTCCGCGGACTACCGCCAACAGCATCCTCAGGAAGTGTTATCCTTCTAGTAGTCCTCAGGCACCCTTCCTTCCCTCGGGACATCTGGAGGACTGCCTCCCTCCCTGCTACCATGGCGCCAAGACTATGGCAAAACTTATCAAGGTAGGTCTTTAAAATCCTTTATAAGGGTAAAATAACACTTAAATAGTATGATTAGGAAAATGATACAGCACCAAAATTGTAACGTCTGAATTTATAAACCTATAGTGCAGTAAATTACCTTCGTGACTTTGGAAAAATAACACACTTATTACTATACTGACAAATTAAAGGTTTTTGTTGGTTACGAAAACTGGAAAATCCCCAATTTCATAGGCCTACTAGGAGAAGAGGGAGAATTAAATTTATGGAACTCAGTGGGTACGCGGATCTCGGTTGTCTATAGTCAAATGTTGGTAACTATTTTAGCTTTTGGATAAGTTTCTAAAGTATTTGTGTAGGCCTACTTAACGACTTAAGTACAAGCAGCTCCTCAATGAATGTGCAAGGTAACTAACTACTGGTGATTCTGTAACTGTTTATCTTTATGTGTAATGGGTGGTAATGGTCGGTAATGGGTGATACCTATGTTGTTTATTTATAACAAAACTTATGGAGCCTGTGGTATTGGAGGCCGTAAACTGTTCCTAGACTCGTCAAACTGTAATGTCAAGGTACAGCTCACTTCGGTACAATCGATATCTGTGCTTCCGAGGAAGCTACTGCATGAATCACCTATCCTGCACGCAACAGTCGACAGTCACAGGAACGCTCGGGCTCAACTACACTCACCACATATACTATTTATCGTAATTGTGTTTTGCTCTAAATCATTAAACACGATTTCAGGCTTGACCTTTTTGACAGTTGTTAAAAGCTACCTTCTTAAATAGAAATGTTTAATTTGGAATTGATTGTGTGATAAGCTCTGAGTCGATATTAAGTACCAAAAACACCAACAATAAAACGCAACTAAAACAACAACAGAAAGAAAAATAAAGGTTATGTATACTAGTGTTCGATGACTGGTTTACTTGCTACTAATAGTGTCGTCAAAGTTGCACTGATTTAATAATGTTACAGTATCAATATTTGTTACATTTTTGTAAACACGTGTAGAAATTTCAATGAACTATTGTAAATTGACGCAATGACGTAAACCCGAGGTGGATATCTCCACCTAAATCATCAAAAGAATAGAGTCATGAATCAGGCAAAATCGTACAATTAAAACCAACACCCGTACACTATCACCAAAAATGCGGAATTTCCATGTTTTACCTGGGAACTAAACACACTCAGTTTTTGTCCAATTCTTTCACCTTAAAAAGTTTAAATAATAGGGTACAGTATGGTTAATACAGAATAATATTTCATTAGACGTACTGTACAGTACGTTAAGTATTTAAAAAAATGTTGGGCTATTATACCCAACATTTGTACATATAATGTATGCTTAGAATTCTATATTATGTATTACGTATTGGTAAAAATACACCTTAAGTCAAAGTTATTAAGTGTCTAAAACGTTTACCGTCACAAGTTTTTATATTAGTAAGAAATAGGCTGCTGAACGAGTATTCAATTTTCCTCCCGTAAAATACAGTTTTATTATACGGCATAAAATGTGTTTTTCTCCCTCGTGTTGCCTTGTTCGTTTGATTTGTGTCCAAATATTTGCAATTAAGTTCTCACAGTGGCATTTCGTTGCTTTAAATTGTAGGACCAAATTCGATTTTGAGCTAGTTAACGCTTGTATTTAATTATGAGATTCTGTAATAATTGTAAAGAGTATATTATCATCTCTTTAAAGAATTGAATCGTTTTAAATTCCTGTTGGTTTACTTTAATTTTAAACGATAGTTCTCGATTTATTTTAAAAAAAGACGTTTTACATAACATATTAGCTGCAAGACAAGAACGAATAAATACTATCTTTATCCAAACTGATTGTTCTTTAGCTAATTTGGCAAATGTTTAGACGATCGGCTTAAAACTGCAATACTTCTTGAAGCAGTAACATTTTGAATGCATGAAATATGATTACAATACTTAAGACTTGGTATAAAGGCTTTTATCAAGTTAATTTGTTAATCACGACTGAGTGAGACAAACAAACTCAAACGGGCCACAAAGTACAATTGAGTTGGTTGCATTGAGTTGGTAAAGTTTAGATTCGCCTTAACTAGACTGAGAGGAAATTATTACTTCGTTTTGTCATTCCTCAGATTGTTAGCTTTACTTTGAATGAATTGTCAAGCTACTTTCTAATCTTTTATCCCAGTGTTTTAAAGCTGAATTAAAATAATTACGGAGTTTAAATATTAAATTGACAGATGTTATTAATATCACACTATTACAGTATTTCCTCCCTTCCAAGTATCAAATTGATAATCAGTTTCCAGTGAATATTGTGTACTCCTCTTATCAACATACAGCTCAGCAGTTAACGGCTTAGCCTCCTCGTTTGAGCCAAGGTGTTGGGTTCACTCGCACTTCGCACTCCAATGCCTTCATTGGCGTGGGGGCTTTGATCAACAGCATGCAGCGTATTTTCCGTTGGATTTCCCTCATTCTGGAGACACTGAACCCTACAGCGCCGCAGATTTCCGATCAATCGATATTTCCAACTCGGCAACACCTCACTCGAGCCACTGGCCACTAAAGAGTTTTTCTCGGACTTTTAACCACTTACTTACGGTTTGTTAGTAGCTTGGGCTCCCTCATTTTAACCATTTCCACCCATCAAACCGAAAGAGTTCATAATTATAGAACGAACCTTTGTGGCCATCAAGTCCATAAATAAATAATGAAAGTAACAACCGCGCCCGCGCAATTCGTCCGAGGCCGCGCGGACATCAGTGTCTAGGTATTGTCGCTGAGGGTTTATGAACCGAAAATACAGTTTACTTTTAACCATAAACTAGACTCTGTCTGATGCACTTAGATGGATAAGCTAGTATGATCATAAGTTTTACTGATATGAAACTTTCTTTTTTTCAACTTTCCGCGTCGTTTCAAATATCAATATCCTAGCGTATCCATGCTTCGCAACTGATTGGAATCGCATGAAATGACACACAGGACTTTTCATATCTTGGATGGATTCAAAGACCAACACAACTCATATTGGTTTCATGAATCAGGTTTAAAATATTGTTATGGTTTAATTTTGTTTGAAAATATATCTTTGTTTCCACTACTAAAATTTTACTAGGGGTTGATTTAATTTGGCTGATTAGGATATGTATCGCAAATCTAAAACTAAATAATGCATTTCGTATAAAACCCACCGTCGATGGCATTACTATATGGGAAAATATTTAAATATGTTTTGGAACCATCAAAATCGACCCCTGCTACTGTAAAGCTACTCGACCCAAGTTGTTAGGAAAACAGTAACCGACAGGAATGAGGATATCTCGAAAAAAACATATTGAAATTCATGCTTCTGAAGTTGGTACTCTTTTGAGCAAACCTCTATGCTGTGGTAACCTCTAAGAAGTTACAAGGATTCTTATGCGGCTTTATTTTTCGAATTCTTATTTTTTTTAGAACATTTTTAGCGAATTTCCCATATAGGGAATAAGCTATTACCGTAGTACTCATGGTAAGACCTGGACCCGGGACCGATTTTTGTTTTCCGTTTTGAGGTCCCTAGAGGCCAAAAACACCATCCGTTCAAATTCATATATATATATATATATATATATATATATATATATATTTATATATATATATATTTATATATATATATGTGTCCGTTAGCGCGATAACTCGAGCAAAAATGATCCGATTTTGATTAAATTTGGTACAAACGTGTAAACCTACGTTTATTCGAACGAGTTCGCGAACCAGCATGATCGGACCATGGGAACGGGGGTTTATGGGGGGTTTTATGGGGTAAAAATGGGTTTTTCCCATTTTTGACCCAAAAAACATCAAATTTAGCAATTTCTTTCAAAACTATTTTGTAGAGCTTAAAAAAACAAATAATTTAGTATATTGAAGCGTTATAATGCGCCTAATGGTTGCGGAGAAAATTCCAAAAAATTGCAAATTTAAAATCCCCATGTTATTCTTATGGAGAATAAGTAAACTGTTGTAGTTTGCTTGTTTAATAACATATTTTGCCCAAATTTGGAACATGTTTTTATTTCTTACTAACAATTAACATTTTACATAAAAAAACACCTTTACCCTCCCTGTTGCAGCAAACCTAAGTATGTGTTAAACTGATTCTATTTAAATCTATACTTATTTAATACGCAAGCAGATTTTTTGTGACAATTACTCCTCCTAAACTACTGAACCGATTGTCATGTTTTTGGTGTCATTGGAAAGAACATAACGTGATGTTGTGCAGGAAACTTTCTTTTTAGGGAAATAATTAGAGAGTGAAGCCCTGGAGCCCTTTAAAGTTTCGTATTCCTCCATAAGATTAACATTGGAAACTTGTAGGGATAAATGTGATATTTTTAAGGATACATTTTAGTGTAAATCCAATCAGGCAAATGGAAATTCGCTTAGTCTGCAGGTTTGCTGCGGCGGGGGTATTTTTCTTTTTAATGTGTTATCGTTTACATGAGTCTAGAACAATTAACACTAATAAAAACCTTTGTCAGCACGGAGAGATATTTGTATTTATTAAAATAATACACAGACGTTCGTTTTATCGTATTCAAAATATATATATTTTTAAATATAAACGTGTTTATTCCTTAATAAACACTAAGTTTTTAAAATCGCTGATTTTAACACAGTTCTTTAAAACACAAACCTAAAATATTTTTGAAGAGGTTTTGTCTCGACAAACATACGAGGGATCTCACGATGAACTCGGAGAGTTTGCCAACGCTGCCAGCAGCCTAAGTGCTGTAACTTTGCTGGGGGAATGTAATTTTCAGCGTCAGAACTCGTCCATAGTGATTTCGACAATGTTTTCTCGCCGTGCGACAGTTGTATTCGTCAATACGGGATATTCCTTTTAACCATTTAATCGCAGTTTTTATATTTTCTACTGTGAGTGCATTGTAACTACCAACTATAAATAATTTGAAATTATGGAAAGACCATGACATTAATTCGGTTAAATTAGCAGCGAATCGGTGTATTTGTGTTTA